CCCCTGTCAAAATGAAAGCCTTTTATCGACATCCCCGGTAAACCTTATCCTACGAGGCATAATGGGGATGTCGATAAAAGGCTTTCAGGTTGGCATGGAGCGTCCAGACTAGCACACTGAGCCAACAAACAGCCGATCAGCTGTTTGTCGGCTTAGCGTGGCAGCCATGTAAATTTAAATGAAGCCGCGATTATTTAAATCGTGGCTTCATTTCCCTTTGCCAATCTATCTAATCTACATGGCTCCATCGATGGAGCCATGTAGTCTAGACACACCCTAAGTGTCAATAGGTTTTTTGCTTTTGGCATCTGGTTGAAATCCTGAATCCTGAAATCCTGGAGTAGTGTAGAGCTACACCACATTAGCAGGAGCACTGATGATAACTATATACTCAAGGAAATAAAACCTACCGCTATACTTTTCCAGGAAGTGTGCTATACATTTCCTAGCATACCTAGCCAGCTCTGCGGGGTAGAGTGGAGTTGTGCTATAGCTCACCTTCTCACTGCACCATTTGAGATGGTTTAGTCTTAACAATGTGCTGTCAAGAAGTGGTTTCAGGAGAACATAAAGATTCCAATCATATGTGGGCTGCTGCTGAGAGCAGGGAAATGCATGAGTGGTGTGAAGTCTCATATGCACTCCCTCACCTTTGCACAATCATGTTGAAGCCACTCACAATGTGGCTCAGTGCTTGTGCTGTGTGATTTCAGAGGCATTTTGATCTGTGACTTTATATAGCCATGTTGGTAGTTTAAAAGATCAATGGCATCAAATGTTCTGTCAGACAAGTCCCCAAAGGATCAATTTGCCTATTCCAAGAGGGAAATCCTATACCGAGGGATTAACTTTATTGATTAAACAATTAGCACTAATCACAAAATGTCCAATGGAACAGTTTATCTTTGGAAAATGCTGAACTGATGAATTAAAATGTTTCATGGGTACTATCAGTTTTGTCTAAATTTTCATGGGAAATTATTGAAATTTTATAAGGTCAAGGTGTTTTGGTTTTGGCTTTGGTTTGACTTCTGTGATTATAATTCATATTCATAATTTTTATTTTAATAAGATACAATAAAAACTATAACTCTGAAATTAATTTTTCATGAAATGATTCCAAAACATTTCAAAATTTCAACTATTTGTTTCCAACTATTGGGGCAAAACCAAATTTCAAAATCTTGATCTGTTCTATGGAATATACATTCTGGTTTTCCTGCCTAGAAATAATATACAGTTCAACCATATTTCTCAGTTATCAGATCAGATAGGCTTATCCAGTTCGAAAACCAGCTGGGCTTTTGTAGCTGACTCTACAGATATCATAGTGCTATCTATATATATATTGTCATTGTGTAATTCTGCCTGTTCTTCAGAAACCAAGTGGTTTCTTATTATGAAGGAAATGTGTAAAAGTAGCTTTCAGCCTATTTGTTGCTGAATTTGTTGACTGTAATTGGCTTCCTCTGGTGCAATATTTTGAAATACCCAAAAAGTGAAGTTCTACAATGGAGATTTATATACTTTTGGTTCTACAAGGCAGCCACTTGAACTTTAACACTTTCTATCTCTCTTTCTCATTATGGTAATGGCATTTTAATGGCTGACAAGCCAATTGAACTTTGATTGTTTTAGGGTACTGCAGTGCCAAATTTTAATGGCTGATGATTGTTGTTAATATCGCTTTCCTTTTCAAGGAGTGAAATAATTCCGATGGCATTTTTAATGGCTAATTATACCAATTAAACTGTCTCTGCCTCTCTACTATTACGATAATGGCATTTTTCCATGGCTAATGATGCCAGCTTAATCCCAACTGTGTCTATCATTCTCATATTTTTGTATTTTGCAGAAGCTTCAAATGAGTCAGTCTCTCTTCCTCCCTCCTCCCACAGCTTAAGACTTGCTACATTTGCAATTATTAGAGATGGTGGGAAACAGCTCAGATAAAACATAATACTAACAAAATGTGTACCTCAAACACAAACCAAACATAAAGTCTGAGGATGAATGGAGTTTCACTTTTTAAAATCTGAATTTCTACTAAACCAGAAACAAATATATGAAAATAACCAACATGACATTTCTGACTTAGCTGACACCAAAAAGTTCTGCAAAAAAGCCAGTTGTAGTAAGATGAAGGCCTAAAACAAAAGCCCATGTAACATAGGTCTGGTTTGAGGCCTGAGGCCTAGCCAACAGACAAAACATGGCTAATATAAAGCAAAGCTAAACTGTGAGCAAGAGGCAGGTCTCTGCTCACAAAACTTAGCATGAACAGGACTACGTCTACATTGAGCTTTCTTGTGCAAGAAGATATGCAAATGAGGCATGGGTTGAGCTTTCTTGTGCAAGATGATATGCAAATGAGGCATGGTGATGAATATCGCTGCACCTCATTTGAATGCATAATGAGTCTCAATTTTTGCGCAAGGGGCTTTTGTGCAAGAAGGATCAACCTACACTGCTCCTTCTTGTGCAAAACCCCCCTCTTGCGCAAGTGCCATTCTGCCGCTTATTTTCAGGTAATTGGTACTGGTCATAAGTTGAAAGCACGTAAGTTGAAAGCTCATTAAAAGACACCTTGGTACCCACTCTCCACAGATACAGATCAGGTTCAGGAAAGGACCTCAGGAGCAGTGGAAATTTCCTACTGACTGAGTCATTCCATTGTTATGGGGTACAAATGCATAGTGGTTCAGTAGAGTCTACTGACAATTATTTTACTGTACTTTGCTTAACAATAAACCTGGCCTGGCACTTTCAGTCCTTATCTGATTTGTTGTCTTTGTGGACTCTCTTGGGGTCTGCTGTGGAGACTAAGTGCACAAGTCAACAGAGAACACATTATTGAGAATACATGCAAGCAGCCGTCTGGTTATTATCATCAGAGGAGCCTGTGAGGACACCTCGGCAGGAAATCCTGACCACTCCTGAATAACTGCACCAGTAGCTTCTAATATTTATAGCTTAGCAAAAGAGATTTGGATAAACATTCAAACTAGGTCTTCTGAGGTTCACTTATCACTAATAATTACACCTTTGTAGCAATTTGGATGTTAGCCTGTTAAAAGCATTGAGATTCAATATAAGGATGAGAAGCAGTGAGATCTGACAAGTACAATTTATTTATTTGCTAAACTCTCCATATTGGAATTGAAAATAGTACCCTGGAATCATTTTGTGTTTGTCATTTTGACTCTCTTTACTATTATATGTTTGCTCATTTAGTGCCCGCTACCTTCAGTGGACTGGATCCTTAGTGCCAAGTCTGAACTTAGTGGAAAATCTTACACTACCTTCAACATAAAAGAATAGAGAGGCCTACTGTTCTGTTGTGTAATGAGATGGTAGATTCAAGAAATCAATACTTTTGCTCTTTAAATGTATCATAGTAGTCTTTTGTTTCTCTTTTTTTTCTCTATATTTGAGTAAGATAGTGAAAGGGAGTACCATCCATAGCTGCTAAATATTGATTTGAACTTTTAATTTAAGAAGTGGGTTAAAGAACTTTATTATGCACTTTGATAGAATTCTGTTTTTTTTTATCCAGTAAAGTGGTACCTATCTTACACCCAATGAATTCAATGGCAAAACTCATAAGTGTTATATGGGGCTAGAATGATGCCCAGCAGCAACAAAAGGAAATGTATAGTTGGATATGCATTTGTTTGGCTATAGAAATGCCACTACTACAGTAATTCCTCGTTTAACACTATAGATACGTTTCAGAAAATGATCGTGTAGGACCTGCACTGCGTCCGGCAAGGGGGGTCGCCGGGGAACGGTGTGGCAAGTGGCAAACCCTCCACTGCTTTACAGGGAGTGGGGTAAGCCCCGCGCAGCTGCTGGCGACAGGCTGGCTGGGGAAACCCAGCTGCAAGCCTGCAAGCGGCGGTAGAGGAGAGGGGGCACGGTGTCCAGCAAGGGGGAGTCAGCGAGGAATGGCGCGAAGGATTGTTTTGGGAGTATACCCCTGTGATGGGTCTGCCAGGACCTGCACTGCGTCCGGCAAGGGGGGTCGCCGGGGAACGGTGTGGCAAGTGGCAAACCCTCCACTGCTTTACAGGGAGTGGGGTAAGCCCCGCGCAGCTGCTGGCGACAGGCTGGCTGGGGAAACCCAGCTGCAAGCCTGCAAGCGGCGGTAGAGGAGAGGGGGCACGGTGTCCAGCAAGGGGGAGTCAGCGAGGAATGGCGCGACGAGCGGCGATCCCTCTGCTGCTTTGTAGGGAGGCAGGGGAAGCGCCACGCATCTGTCGGCAACGGGCCAGCTGGGGAAATCGTGTTATTCTGGGGATGGTCGTGTAATTCAAAAAAGTTCCCTAAAAAAAAAATATCATGCTATCGCGAAAATGTGTTAAGTGGGCACGTGTTAAATGAGGAATTACTGTATTTTAAATCTTTCTTGCATGGGAGCACTGCAGCATTTGTGTATAATAATGCCAAAAGATTAAACAAATACTCTTTGAAGTTTTCTTGGAAAATAATTTATGAATGAATTGAAACTGGTACAGGTCATTTGAAAAGCCAAAGTTTGAATTTTTGAATTCATATTACAGAAGAAATTGAGATAAATTAGACACTACTATGCCTATTCTATTTATCTTGTAGACTAAGAGTTTGAGATACTGGTTTGTAGTCCTACTTAATCCATTTTCCAATAAACAGCAAAATGTTAACCTTTTTATTTCAATCCAGTTTTTTATGAGTATACATTTGTATGACAATGAAAGTTTCATATGGGATATTATGAAATGTTTACACTGTGTAATAATACACTGTGCAATTACAAGGTTATAATTTGCTGTAGTTTGAAAAATTCTCCATACCACTTTGTAGTGTGGGGAATTAAACAGTATATTTTTATGCATCAATTTTAATAAATAATTTATTCTTCAAAGTCTTGTATAAAAGGTGAAATCCATTTAAACTTGTTAGTAAGAGAACATAGCATATGTTTCATATTCAACTACGGTTAATCAGTGTATTTTGACTGCATTTGAATGATAATAATTATTCAGGTCTATCATGAGTTTTCAGCTGAAATGAAGTCAGGTACTGAACTTGTAACGAAGCCTTTGTTTTGCTCTATTCATTAGTCTATCTTTAAATTATTGTACCATATGGCTAATATTCATCATCCAGTTGTGATGCTTCAGTTTCTTTGTTTGGGTTGCAAATGAACTCTTCTCATCAATGGAACATATGGCAAATATTTAAGAAAGACTGATGAATGTCATTTGATGCCTTGCTTCATTTAATTTCAAGCATGAGGTAATGTATCTGTAGAAGGCTTTCAACGCACTTACATTACAGTGACAGAAGACATGAAGGTGGAGCTTTCTCCCTTTCAGCTCAAAGTGAAGAAATATGTCTCACTTAATCTCGACACTATGGAAAGTTCTGGTGAAATAAAAAACATTTATTAATAACTCTGACAAGTCACATCAGTAGAATAACCCTTTCAAGACAAACAAGCTGTTTACAATGATCTATTCAATGCTTTTGGGGAAGAATTGCACACAAGATTATGAACAAGGTTTTGTTACAGTCTGTATAGTGTTGATCTAGATTCTAATCCTGTAATTGGCTCCATGACATTTTTACTCCTATATACAAACTTGCTTGAATGAACAGGGCCTTCATTGTATTTGTTTGCATGGTCTGATTATTATAATATTTCTTATATAGCATTTTCCATCCTTACACCTCAAAGTGCTTCACAAAATAGTGAAGTATCACCATGCCTAATTCATAGGTGAAGTGATTTTCCCAAGATCACCAGATACCTTATTTCTATTATGGTAGTGCCAAGAGACCCCTTTGTTCCAGATTCTACATACACATTTTGGTTATGTCTAGACTACACGCTTTTGTCGACAGAGGCTTTGTCGACAGATGCTGTCGACAAAGAGCATCTAGACTACATCCAGTTCTGTCGCCAAAGCAAGTCTCTTTATCAACATGAGAGTGTAAATGCAAAGGACAGTGTAGATACAATAACGCCTTTTGTCGACAGAACTCTGTCGACAAAAGGCATTATTCCTCGTAGAATGAGGTTTACCACCATCGACAAAACTGCCAAGTTCTGTCAACGTTATGTTGATAAAACTCGGCGGTAATGTAGACTCAGGTATAGTTTTGTCGACAAAAGTCCACCTTTGTTGACAAAACCCTGTAGTCTAGACACACCCTCTGAGAGAGCATCCCTGATACTAAAGAGTTTACTCACTTACTATCCGAGGTCATAAAAAAGTGGAAGGAGTTAGGCTGAGCACCTCTATCACCTAACTTTGAGACTGATGTCCAATCCTCTAGACCATACTACTCACTCTCCGAATTGTTGCTCCCAGTTCCTTATATTTCTGTACCTTCATATTTTTCACTTCACTCACAAATCTTTTCTGACTTTCAATATTTTATCTACCTTCCACTTCTGTTAACTAGTAGTCCAAGTGCTCTCTCTGATGGCCATCAATGGATTATTTTGTGGACTCTGAATATCATTATTGATTTCAATCTTGCACTATGTTCTTGGCAAAAAAATCTCTAACCTAGAAATCACGTGTGTCCTAAGACTTTTTTTCAATGATGCAATGCACTCTGGGCACAGCTTATGAGAAAGCCTCCGACTGCAGAAAATGGCATACCGAATTCAATTAAGGAAGCCACTGAATCTTCTGCACTTTGACCTAAGGTGTCAGAAAGGAGCAGCAACCAGACAAGCATCCGTGTAAACAGGGGGAAAAAGGGATCTGTGCCCTGATCTGACTTAAATTGACATTGATTAGTGGAGTATCTGATGAACTCAGAATATTCACTTGAGTTTTTGAACGCTTATCTGTGAAGAACAGCAATAACTGTAGAGGTTCAGCTAAGTCTAGATGTGATTTATAAACAATGAAGATGAAGATTTTCAAAGGCACAAATAGAAGTTAGGTGCTGAACTCCCATTGATTTCCCTGGGAATATGGTGTCCAAAACTCCCTTTTGTCTTTGGAGATTTCCCCTTAAATTAATCTGTTTCCATATTTATGATTATGATCCTTAGAGATCAGCCTGAACCAGAATACTAGTCTTATCCATTTTCACTTTATGCAGATCCAGGATTTACAACCAACATTTGCAGTTCAGGTCCATCTCTAAAATAATTTATAGAACCACAAAATGGAACTCAGCCAGATGTCAGTGTAAATTTTCATAGGTTCATGTAGTGTCACCTCTTGTATAAAACAGTACAAAAGAATTTCACCAGTTTTACATGTATATTGAGTCTTATCAATTGTGTATCATGAAAGCATATGTTTCAGAAAGTCATTGCTAAGTGAGAATAATACTGAATGAGGAGGGAGGAAGCAGCGGAGAGGTAGGTGAACTCCTTAATTGTCCCTTTCCAGATTTTTGAACATTTTTTAAAGCAATGAATCATTTTTATACATAAAGTGTAATATTGATTTTTGGGATTAGCTGTACTCATCTGAAAAATGTTTTAAACGCTAACACTTTTAGCAAAGTTAGTTGTTTGGGAATACTATAATGCATAGCATATCTTTCCACTGTGCTTAAATAAAAGCTATAAATCCCTGTTCTAGTTTTCACAGCATGAAAATGCCACCAGAGCTCCCCTATCCTGGTGTGTCGTCAGTCCCAGAATCATATGATGGAATTACAGTCTTATTATATACCGTTGGAGGTACACTATTCCTGGCATTGAGACTGGAGAACATTTTTATGAATATATTTTACTTTCATGAATGTTCGCAAAAGCAAATATGATCAATTTTTCCCAACTTCATACACAAGTGCGAAAACAAATCACTTACCCACAGAGGCTGGGAATAAGAAAATTACAAATCTCCTCTCTGAATTGATGTTGCCATTTAAAGTGATTTCCAGTAAACCATTCATGGATGCTGCTGACCTCCTTTATTTTGTTCTTTTCTTATATAGCTTGTACTGATATAGCTATTTCACAGCCTTATAAAGCCATCCCCTGCAAAACAAAATATATCAATAACAAGTGAAAGTGTGTTATTACAGAAGGAATATATATCAAAGGTCAAATTGTAGATTGCATATTAGTTGCAGTGTTCTAATCTGCCTCGTCCATTCCCAAAATCAGAAGTCCAGGAAATGTATTGCATAGTGTATACTAAAGCACTTAATAAAGACTGTATTTTAACCCTTTGCAAAAGATGCAGTACCATGCGATACCAATGTAGGGTTTGATCCTGCTTCTATTCCAATAGGAGATATTCTTGAAACTGACTTCAATATGAGCAATACTAAGCTCAAATTTATATGTTGTCTGTAGGTCCATCTTGCTTATCATACCTGATTCTGGATGTTTTAATATATAACACTGAATATGGTTAAGAACAGGTAGCAGCACAAAACGTCTACATCCATTTTAACTCTGAATTTTGATTTAATATGAATCAGATAATCAATAACCTGTTGTGATACTGATAACTGGAAAAGAGTGTGGGGACAGCAGTACAAATCATAAAAGAAATCTCCACAATCATGGTTGAAGTTTCAAAAATCTTTTTCCTTTTAGGAATTTACTGAGGGTATGTCTACACTACAGAGTTTTGCCATTTTTCTGACAAAACCTGAGTTACCAGTACACTTGCAATCCCATTCTTCTGAAAGTAAATAAAAAGAACGCATGGACAGGACGAAAAGGGTCATCTTGAGTGTTTAGAGGGGAGAGCCTAAATAATTTATGAACTTTAAGGACAATCAGAGGAACCGTTCATCCTTAGACGCCAAAAGATAAAGTAATTACTATCTGCTATGAGAAATATGATATCCCACAGACTGCTACTCAAGATTTCAATAATGAATAACTAAAGTTGGGCCTTTAAATCCAGATTTAGAATCCTACATAAATGACTTATTTTTTTTCAAAACTGCTGAGCACCTAGCAGCTTCTACTGAAGTCAATTTTGAAAATATTGATGAGAAATTTGAAAATAAAAATCTTGTTAATGGAAGACAGCATCCATTCAGTGTGGACGCTATCTTTCGGAAAATTCATATTGCTTTTTCAATGTGCTTGTGTGTGGACGCTCTCTTTTGGAAGAAGTTTCTTTTCTCTTCCAAAAAATGGTTTTTACAAAAGAAGCCTACAGTCTAGACATAGCCTGAGCTGTAAAAGAGCCTGGACTATAAAGTCACTCACTCCATCTCCAGCCCAGTGCATACAACAACTTCAATAGGTGTGAGTGAGAGAGACCCACAGCAGAATATTCCAAACCTAGAAGTTAAGGCATTGACATGGAAAGTCCTCAGGTTAAATCCTTTCTTCTCATAAAGTAGACAGGGCACTGAATGCAGTCTTTCACTTCATGGGCGAATCCTTTAATCACTGGTATAACAATTATAAGATAGGCAGCCTCCTCCCTTCCAGCCCTGGGCCATTTTGTGGCATGCTCAGAGCATACCCATTAAATCAGGCCCCACAGGTGAGACAGGCAGGAAACTACCTTTGAGAATCACAATGTGAGACATGAGATAGGCATGCCCAGAAGACACTTTGTTACCTAGGGAACATAGAAAAAATATAGGTGCTGAGAGAGTTTGATGGAAGTTTTGGGGCAGTGAGGATTGCAGTGACACCTATGTCTCTTTGCTGATCTGGGTTTTAATACATTAGGCTGATCTGCTTCTTATACTATTGAACTATCTTCATGGCACCACAGACAACATGTTGGTTATCAGAGAATCCTGCTCAGCTTTAGGCAACCAAACAAGAGGGAGTTTGGTGTGATACCAACAGGAGATTGGGTTGCCCCCCTCAAAATAGTCACTTAGGGTATGTCTACACTACCACCCTAGTTCGAACTAGGGTGGTTAATGTAGGCAACCAGAGTTGCAAATGAAGCCCGGGATTTGAATTGCCCGGGCTTCATTTGCATATTGCTGGGCGCCGCCATTTTTAAATGTCGGCTAGTTCGGACTCCATGCCCGCGGCTACACGCGGCACGAACTAGGTAGTTCGGATTAGGTTTCCTATTCCGAACTACCGGTACACCTCGTTCCACGAGGAGTAACGGTAGTTTGGAATAGGAAGCCTAGTCCGAACTACCTAGTTCG